GTGGAAGTGCAGAAAGTGATTGTGACTCAGAGACTACTGTTTGATGATTAGAACAGTAAAGGGAAAGCAGTTACAACTGTTTCTTCACCTCTTCCAAAAAACTGCTTGCAAAGCTCTTGCAGTCACACACCGCACAACTCGAGCCCTCCCGCTCTCAGGGTACAGCGACCTTCGTCAAAGCAGGAGCAACTAAATAAACGTGGGTCGTGAGCAGCAAAACCATTCAACGTAGTGCAGGACCATGCCGGAAGTCATCTCTTCCGGGCTGCGCAGGGCCGGACCAAGCCCCAGCACCGCCGAGCTACGGCCCAGCAAACCAGCCGTACCGTACACCTCAGCCCGGCCCACACCCCGCTGCTCCTGCGCAGACGCCGCGGCGACGGCTGTCACGCAGACGCCCAACCGTCGCCACACAGCGATGAAGCGGCGCTGCGCCGTGGAGTTCCAGCTAGCACAGCCAGCGGCCCCGCCGCTGCCCTCCTATTCCCCCCTCTCCCAATGAGGGAGATGACGGCAGCGGCCGCCGCAGTCCCGCCGCAGCCAGCCCCGCCCGGCCCGGCCTCACGGCCCGCGCATGCGTGGCGGCCCCTTTACTGGCGGCCACCCTAAGTGGCGCCGCAGCCGGCGCCTGCGCCCCCGCCAGCCCCCTACAACGAGGGTCGCTCGCAAGGACCGGCTTCCCCACTTCCACCGCCTGCCCCGCCGCTCCCACCCTTCTCCCTGGCAGCCGCCGGCGGCACAGCGCAACAGAAGAGCCTTGGCCCGGGCTGGCTGAAGCAGCCAATGGGCGCGCCGGGCGCTGTTCCCGCCCTTGGCGCCCCGTCCAATCATCGTGCAGCGGGGGAGGAACGAGGGCCGGGATTGGCTCGGCGGAGCGCCGCTGGCCTCCCTCCCACCACCGCCAAAAAACGACGGTAGCAGAGAGGCCCAAAAAGCCGTAGGGGAGACGCCGGCTCTGCCGGCGGTCAGCTGCGGCCCCGCGGCACCCAAAGCCCGCCCTGCAGGGGTCCGGATCAGCAGCCGGCCCCGCCCCGCGGAGCGGGCGGGCGAAAAGCCCGCGTCCCGTCCGGCAACGCTTACCGCGCGGGGGGAGCCGTCCGCCTCCGCTTGTGATGAGCTTGGTCACAAGTGGCGCGCCGTAGATTCGCCGCTTTGCGTCACGCCCGGGGCGAGGCGCGCGGCGCGGGGCGGGAGTCGTAACGTGACGTAACGTAACGCGGCGCGGCGGCGGGGCGGGAGCCAGTGAGGCGCTGATCGAACGGTCTAGTTCGCGTGCCGCCGCGGGCGCGAGGGGCTGCGCACAACGGCCGCTGCGCGGGGTGGGCGGGGGCGCACGGGCGGCCGCCATCTTCCCCTACCCGGGCAGGAAGGAGGGAGCTCCGGGAGTGTTGCTCGGGGTTGGCGCTGATCCTCGTGGCTGAGGGTGGGCGTAGCGGTGGGGCCATGGCTGCGGGTCCCATGCGGATGAAGGCTGGCTCCAAGTGCCCAAAACCGCACCTACGTTTGCGGTTGGCAAAGCCGTGCGTGCGTCCGGTCTCTGCCACGGCGGGTCGTGCTGCTGCTCTGCGCAATCATAAACTTGTGTCGTACAGGGGCGTCCGTGAAATAAACTTGTGTTTTACAGTCTCACGCCACGTGGGCAGCGCAGTGAGAATTGGTTCTAAGCCATGGGATGTGGGCTTTGAAGAAGGGGAAAAAAGAGTAGATGAGAGGGTGCACAGGAATCATTCACTGAGATAGATACAATCTCTCCAAGCTTTGCTTGGTATTTTTAGCAGGATGAAGCTCAAAAGAGGGAACAGTCGAATAAAGTGGGGGGAGGTGATTTGTAAACTATGTTGTGTTTTATAAGCTCATGAAGAAACTAATGAAACACTTCATGGTCTTTCTCCCTTTCTCAAACTGAGTCACATGACGAGTATAGAAAAGAAGTGCGGTCTAAAGAGTCTTTTGACATCTATGGTGGGATGCAGTTGGTTGTTCACAGTTTCTTACGATTTTTGAAATGCAGGTCTACCATTTATCATGGTTTTACCCCAACTGGCAACTAAATACCACACAGCAACTTGCTCACTTCCACCCCAGGGTGTGGTAGGGAGGAGAACCGGTGAAAAAATTAAAACCCATGGGTTGAAATATGAACAGCTTAATAATTAAAGTACAATATAATAATGAAAAGACTTAACAATGAGGGAGATATAAAACTAAAAGAGGAAAGGGCAAAAAACAGTAAACACAAGTGATGCACAATACAGTTGTTCACCACCTGCTGAACAGTCCCCAGCACGACCCAAGCTGCAATCTGGGCCTTCCCTAGGACTCCCCCCAGTTTATACACTGGGCATGACGTGCTGTGATATGGAATACCCCTTTGGCTAATTCGGGTCAGTTATCCTGTCTCTGCTTTGTCGCAGCTTCTTGTGCCCCTCCTCACTGGCAGAGCATGGGACCAAAAAGTCCTTGATCAGGCTAAACATTACTTAGCGACAACTAAAAACATTGGTGTGTTATCAAGCATTGTTCTGAGACTAAATCCACTGTCATACAGTGTATGCAGCACAGCACCAGGTTTACTAATTGGGCCTAACAACTTCCAGTTTTATGTAGCCAGGTAGTCATTGGCTACTGTTAGCCTTATGACACAGCACTGCCAATCCTGGAGCAGGTTGTCAAGGCTGTGGGTGTGGTTTGTGGACGAAGCAGTTGCTGCAGCCTAAGCTGTTCATCGAATGAAAATGGAGAGCCCAAATGAACAACCAGAGTCTGGTAAAGATTGAAATAAATAAAGTTTAAAACACATGAGTATCAGTACATAAAGTATCACACAGAACACAGGTTAAGAGAATAACTCTTTGTCTCTCCAGTATCTAAGGCTTATTTTACATATTTTAATTGTCCTCTCTGTAATAACAATTGTACAGGGAGGAAGTCTCCTTAATTTGTAGGATACTTTTAGTTATGTATATGTTTATAAGGACATTTAAGAACTTTAGTAGCTTATCAAGAGACTTATGGAAAACAATGGCAGTTTTAAGAATGACTGGTTAAGAATAATCTAATTGTTCTTCATATTTTTAAGCATGGGAAAATTGGTAAAACAACTTTTTAATGTCCCTCAGGCTCGGTTGCTCTGTGGTTTACAAACTACTTTCAGATGCCTAAGAATTTTTGTAGGTCTGGACCTTGGGTAACACCACCTGTATTTAAATATTTGTAGTATCCAGGTCAGCATGCCTGGTCCATCAGTTATTTCATCATCTGCTTACTGAGAGGAGGCATACTGAGGGAGAAGGTGTGATCACGGAGCCAAATTTCTTTAAATGTTCTTTTCGAATGTTTTTAACAGAAAATGAAGAGAGGCAACCTTTTTTAGGAATAGCCTGAAGAGGGAGCCATTGGTATAGTAGAAGAAACAAGGAAGACTCGCTATTAATAAAAGAAAAATTAAAATATTTTTATTTTTAAGCTTTATATAATGTTCACAGATTTACCTATATTTAATGTTCCAGTTTCTGTATGTACATAATTTTAAAGTCATGATAAAAATATAAATGCTTGGCATTCGTTCTGAAATATTTATACTGATTAAAATGTATTAAAATGCAAACTGAATAAGTCAATTATTAGTAAAGCATTAATTAGTTAATGAAGTAGTTTATAAATTGATTGTAAACATAGAATGTATTTATTTTCTAACAGAATGACATTAGGGATGATTCTGCAGGTGCTGTGTTTCTTCCACACTAAAATACTGATTTCATTAGAAATGTTTCTCACTTAAAGAACAGTACCAGCTGTTTGCTTGGCTGTGTAACTTAAAGCTCTGTCTGCTTGATATCACAGTAGTCAGTGTCACTAGAATAACTAGTAACTAATGGTCATATGAAGCACTTGTATTTTTTTTTTTTTTTCTCTTCAAAAGACTGATGAGGTGCTGCTCAACATTAAAAAAGGAAAAGACAGGGTGACTGGTGGATGCCCTGTCTTGATCTAAAAGGGAAAGTAACTCTCAATACCCCTGTGGGTAGGAGTGGATTCCCCAGTGCTGCCTTTCATGGCCAGGAGAACCTGAAATTGAAGTCTTCTCTTTCTCTCTTCTGGGATTGAAGGAGGCATGAAGATGGTCTGCATAATTCACTGGTCCTGCTCCTTCACACGTATGGTTTTAACTTGATAGCAAGAGGCTGTTTCAGAGCAGACCCTCATTTCAGTGCACTGCCCTGATAGTACCCGTGCCTATAAAATTATGCTGTCTTACTGGCTGTATTTTACTTGGCATTCCCCAAAGCAACAGAAAAAAACTACATATAGCATAAGACCACCTTCAGTTGCACTTCTTAGTGCATAGAAAGCATGGATTACAGTGACTTCCAGAGCAGTTTTATTGCTAGAAACACAGCCTCCATGCCTTTCAGGAGGAAATACACCATCTGAGAAGTGCTGAACCTCCACTACCTCACTGAGCTTTCTAGTCCTCTCTTTTGCCAAAAGTGTCATGAGTAGCTGTTTCTTGGTGGTTGAAGTCACTTTGTAAAGCCACAGTGGAACAGGAGATTGCAATGAAGTTTTATGTCAATTGCATGTCTTCAAATACTTTAGCAAAATTCAGTCATTTACCTTTATAGAGCAGTAGCTTCTAAGCATGGGCTGATCTTTCCTGAGTCATGTGCAGGTGCTGGAGTGCTCACCCCTGTAGCATTCCTTACCACACAGGTTCCTATATGGTTTCAATGGGTGAAGGCAGCTGAGAGACTGCAGAGGACTTGTTCTGCAGGTTGATGATTGCAAAACAGTGTCTTCTGATCTTGGAGGCTTGGTCCTTGTCTTGAACTGCTCCTTCTTGACACAGGCACCAAAAGTTGCACTGCAGTTATGGCGTCTGCAGAGCCAACACAGGTAAGAGAGATTGAGCTGAGTCTTCATTTTTCCTGTGAATACCATCAGCAGCTAGGAGCCTTACTCGGCTCTTACAGTTGTAATATGAGCCCCACGACCTCGGGTAAGTCTGAGAATGGGTATTGAAAACCTGTTTTGAAACCTAAGTATCCCAGAGTATTGCTGTTCCCAGATCTCTTAAGAGGCTAGCTACTTTTATGTTGCAGCTCCTGGGAACTTCGGGGCAACTACTAAAAATCAGAACTTGCATATTACAGGTTGGTCTTTCTTAAAGAGCTGTTCATACAGATGATCTGTGATACAATATTTCCATCTGTAGACTCAACATCCACATCTTATGCTTTTAATTGTCTTTGCTCTTTCAGGTTTTTGCAGGGAGGTAGCAGGAGAGAAAGGAAATATGCCAACTACTGTCTGCAATTTCATTAATGTAATTTGTCTTACAAGTAAGGATAAAACTCAGAAGTTTTTGTTTAAATGTGGTTCAGTTGTTTTTGTTGTGTATGAACTAACTAGATGTTAGAGTAAAAATCATATTTTGAAATAAAAAAAATACAGATTTTAGTTACTTGTGCTACATGTTTTGCCTGAACAGCAAACCAAGCTCACAACTATCGTTTTAATTTCAAAATATCTCATTTGCCTTTGATTTAATTATCTGATAAGATGATGATTTAAAAGTAATTCACAATAATTAGTTACTAATTGAGTAGAAAAATGTCCTTCTGATGAAAGATTGACCAGAAGAGATATTTACAAAATTTTTTTTCTATTGTACAAAAGGTCACATAAAAGAAACATGCCGTGATTCTTAAAAGTGTACTCACAGCACAGTTACAGGAGTTCTGCATTAAATTGGGGGAAAGGCAGAATCCAGACCTATAAAGGTTTACTATTGCAGTTCTATTGACCTCAGTGATTATTCCATAGATGTTCATAGATAAGTCTTTACATCAAATTCAACAAGCTAATTGTATTGCATTTCCTATTTACAGCATCCTATGAAGGACAGGGAAGAGATTAACTTGATAATGGATCTTTCTTCAAACAATTACATAATGAAATTTTGTTTATGCTAGGAGGAAATGACAGTGCTGTTTATTGCTCAGATCCAGAAGATGGAATACATGTGAGGCAGCATGAGCATGGTGATACTACAAAACAGAAATAAAGCAATTTTAATAAAATACATGGAAAAAAAAATTCATTTTGCACAGAATTTTAAAACTAAAGCATAACATATTCCACTCAGCAAGAATAAATTATCTATAACCCTATTTTATAGCATTAGGGATAAGATAAATGCATACTATTTATTAGTATGCCAAGTAATAACATGACAATTATTTTTTCCACCAATTCTGACCCACTAAATATACAATTTTTATGTTTTTCCAGATCAGGAAGTTAGAAAGCTTAAGAATAATAAAATGCTTTGCTGATTTTCTTGTGATGGTCTATCAGTTGTTTGTCTCTGTATTGGAATTTTCATGTAAGTGCCGATGGAGCTTTGATATCTCCAGGAAAAAGGCTGCAAACATTTTGGCTCCTTCAATGTAGTTGTATCTGTGAAGGAAAGAAAAACAATGAAGACCTGTCAAGCTGTTCTGCTCTTGAAATTGGTATAGTTTTCAGAGTCTTCAGAAGAATTTGCAAGATTGGTCACCCAAAAAAAGTACCCAGTGCACAGAAATTCTGGACATCCTTCAACTAGCATTGAAGGAGAATTGAAAGGGTTTACTGAGAAAACTTTCCTCAGTGTTGCATCCCCTAATTACTATTGTCTGTGGCCAAAAGGGTTGAGGCTATAGTGAGGGGAAACAAAAAACACTGAGAATTATTGTAGAATTCTCCAGTTTCTCAAGCTCAACATGATATGACTCAGAAGCTACAGCAATGTTCAGACAACACACTGAGCAGTGTCTTACCATAATGCCTGAAAGAATGAACGCAAGTGGCAAGTTTAAGTTAATTTTGGTATAATTACATCAGTTTTTGTCTCTGTAATATAAATGCAACTTTATTTATACTGAAAGCCATAAAAATCTTCACTTAACCATTAGCCTGCATACATCCAACTGGCATACTTCAGAATGGATGCTGTGACAGAAGAGTGCCCGTATACATCACAATTTTTCAGACCAGAGGCAAATTCCATTGGCAATTTTAATTTCACTGCCAATGTATTTAGACTGGGTAGACACTCGTGTGAAAAAATGTATATCTGTACACAATACATTGGGAATTTGTGTTTGGCACAGCAACAAGTTTGCTGGAGACAGTAGTTTGGGACTGTCCAGTGCATGGCAAAGCTTTCCATCTGTCTTTTAGGCATGGGTATACCAGGCGACTTCAGTTCTCCCCCCTTCTCATACAGAGCAAATCAGCAAATGAAAGAAACCTGCTTATTTTCTCATTCTGGGAGTGCTCCCCATCATTGGCTGCACCGATTGGAAGCATTATCACACTTTTCTGCATTATAGTCTGAAACATTCTGGCAACAGGAACTGTTGAACCATCCCGGATAAAATCTGGGTCTTCTCCAAAAACTGAAATACATGGGAAGAATTAATTCATTATTAAGTGAAAAAAGGTGCTTGCCTTTGCTACCATATATTTGAGGACACAGCTGATATTAAGAGCATCTGAGTAGAAATTGGTTTGATCCTGTAGCAAATTGATTTCATGAATCAGCTGCACTCTACAAACCTCTGGGTTTGTATCAGTACACAAAGAAACTAAATGAGGTCTTTTGGCTAACTCCTATTAAAGATGCCTCAATTCAGCAAGATGAGCACAATTCCCCTGCACACTTGCAGACACATTAAGAATGGGAAGGAAAAAAAAAAAAGGAAAATACCTGTTTTTATTGCCTTTCTTGCTGCTTTATATAGTGGATCATTAACATCAGCGAGCCAGGGTTTTGCACCTGAAGGCATAGTCCAAACAAACTGAAAGTGTCTATTTCTCTTGGAAAAGACACTCTCCAAGTGCTCCACCAGCTGCAGCAAAAACACATTGCAGTTAGAAGCAACTCAAGCTTACACCCACATACTTTCTTCTGCTCTCAGAAACAAATAAATGCTAGAAACACTCAGTTTGCTATTTTGGGTACAAACTCATGAGGTGCTGAGAAGTACTTAGTTTACACAGCAGAGGCCAAAAAAGAAGCTTTGTCTCTTACCTGTTGTTTCACAACTGAAAGGTCCATGTGGGGGACCTGACGAATTGAGAATTTGCCAATGACTTTTGCTGGAATGACTGTTTTAATTCCTGGTTCATTAAAAGCTCCTTCAATCCCATGAATAGAGAGAGAAGGGTAATGCCACAGGTGCAGAAGTATTTCTTCCTTCAAAAAAAAGGTGACATTGAAAATGTAAGGGATGACACTGGAGCCATTCACGATTTATATGAATTGATTTGAAGAAACAAACTTTCTGTCCTCAAATTTGTATGTGGAGATCTCTGTATTTTAAATATGTTTGTAATTTAAACTCATGCACATACCTTTTCATTGAAAAAAAAAATTACTTCTTTCAGTCAACATTCGTTTACCTTTTTAAATATTTGGATGAGAATAGCTTTCCATGCACAACAAGAAAAACAGAGCATTGTTTTAAAATATCATAGAAGTAAATTTCTCTAACACAATGTAAAATCAGAACAACTTCTGATCTGACCATCTGTTGATCTTGGAGCTTCTCGCAGGAGAAACCTGTTACCAGTTTAACCAGATGATACCAGGAAATAAGTTCTACTAATGAGCATTAAATAATGCAATAGGTAAGATGATGTTCAGTAACAAAGTTGATCTTTTTCTGGAGAAAGTAAGAAAGGTTAAAAAAAAAACAAAAAATAAAAGACAATGGTTATTCTAAGGATGAAAGGAGAAATATATAAAATATAAATTAGGCTTCATGCAGAACCCAAGAGCACTGCTCCTTTCCTTCTTCTCCAGTTTTATGAGACTGGAGCTTTATGTACACATAAAATTTGCACCACTTCATCCTCATATCTGTAAAGCATCAAAACTTATATAGTGTAGTTACATTATACTTCTGTATTACTGATTATTACAGTCTAGCTTAAGCTAATTTGGAAGCTTTTTCATGGAAATAAAAGCATCCATGTTAGAACTTATACCAGTATAATTATGTTAGTGATAAAAAAACGAATCACTCCTTTCTCCCAGCTGCTACTCTTGTGCAGAAAGATCCTTCTGAGCCAGCCCTTACCTGCTGGTTTTTATTTAGGATATAATTTTTAAGTGCTGGCAAAGAGAGGCTTATAGCTTTGGGTGCTTTTTTGGCATGCTCAGCAGACATTAAAATCTGAATTAAACAAATAAAAACCACCCAAAACACATCTGCCTAAAGCTGCCTCCCATTTTTCAGAGACGAATACAATTTCTTTTCTACTATGCGACCCATGTGCAGGGCTTTTAATGCTTATTTTATTTGGCTAGTTAGGCATGGGGGTAGTTGCAAGGAAGGGGGAGCAATACTGTTAGTTTTGCATCATTCCTTTTCATTGATTATTCATCTTTTGAATCACATTCCCCAAATGCGGTAGCTTATGTTTTCAGCAGATTAGTTTTATTTACCTTTTAATGCTTTGTGCTCCTTTATTATAAGTTTGTTGTTGATCTTTCAGTTTGGCTCTATATATAAATGCTGTGAATGAGTGATTTAAGTTCTTTCTGCTGACCATTTATACAGGTTTTGTGTTACCTTGGTGCCATAGAGGAATTTTTTCACGCCACTATTGTTTTTATGCTCCTCCAGATCAAATTCAATAGATTCATATAATTTCCTCTCTTCCTCTGTCAGGGAAGCAACACTGTCATAGATTCCAGGGATCTGAATATGACCTGTATGATCCACAAGGCTGTCTACAAAATAAGACAGAGATATCAGTGCAAGTAGGATTTATTTCTTCCACTTGGCAATCACAGCACCTTTTCTTTTCTACCAAACTCTTTACTGACTGAGTAAGCCTACCAACTAACTACTAACAACTGCTTGCATCCATCAAGTTGTGGCACCTAGCTTGATGTATTTTCGTATTTATAAAGAAAACTATTGAGCTGCTGTTTATAGTGTGTGGTGTGTCAGCCTAACTGCTGACATGAAAACATCATCCTACTGAGATACAAATCAGCATTAAAGCATCAAGCGTCTCTACCCGTGTATGTATTCAAGTTGTCAGCAATCCTTAAATGTTCTTCATTGACATGTGACTAGCGTCAGCTTAATAGGCACATGTCTGAGGTCCTGGCCTTACTGGGGACATTCCTTCCTCAGCTGCTGCCACAATAGCTATGCTGAGATTTGGAAACCTGGGCATTTTTCTTCAATTACACTTGCCTTACTTGTGTCAAATAAACATGGCGCTAATAGTCCTTAAGCTGATTGCTAGCCGTTGTTCCCCGGTTACTCCTGAACAATGATGCATGTTATTACCCAGCAGAGCTATGAGGTCCATCAGCGGCTCATGAATGATGCCTCCAAAAGTTCCAGAGTGAAGGTCCTTGCTGCCACATTCAACCTGTACCAAAACCACTGGTTATATAAAACACTCCCTACCTTATTCTTCTGTGAGTGGTTGCTTTCTATCACAACCGGTGGCTTCATTTTTTTAAACAAGGTCACAAAAGTATAGAAAATTATTATGTGTTTCTATTTATAAAATGGAAACATCATCTTTGGTGAAGAGAAGATAGGGCTCTGTTGTTAACTACTAGAAAGAGAAACTCATCTGTCTGTAGCACTTAAGAGGCATTTGAGAGCAAGGGTCTCTCTCCATTCCCACTTTTGTTTCAGTAAAATTAAATACTTCCTAAGTGAAACACTTCCATATTACTGTTTCTAACATTGCAGAATAAATTCAAGTTTTCTATCCCTTCTATTTAATGCAAAATCTTCATAATAAAGGCAAGAAAGAACCTTACTTGATTTGCATTAAGAAAATATATGTCCAACCTTCATTTCAGATAGCAGCAAATAAGAATTTAGAAGTCTCTTGACTCATACAGCTTTAGAAGAGAAAGAGGCATTTGGTTTATCAAATGCGTTCTTTTTCCAGACACATTTTCATATTCAGGTTTATCATAAACTATTTTCCTGCAACAAACTTCTTTATTTTTCTCAAAACCTCATTACAGCCATCTGGTAGCAGGCAGACATCATTTTTGATGTTTTAATAGCATCATTTTTCTTAACCAACACTTAAAAGAATTGAATCAAGGCTGCCGAGGCCCTTTTGGTTAAAAACAAATTTCATTCTTTTTCAGACATAAAGGTTAATGCAGATTTTTCTTTAGTTACAGAGGGCTTTAATCTTCTCTCTGACTTCCTTTTATGCTTCATCAGGAAGTTTCCAGATGAGAAACTTCTGCTCTTCATTTCACAGTAGCTTATGTTAGCTGCTAAATATACTACAATCCACTGTTACTTGCTTCTGGAAATGGTTACAAAAATTTTGTGTGGCTTTTAAACCCAGGGATCCAACTAAAATGAGTCCCTTTAGGCAAACACATTGCACTAAGCAGCGTCTTCTGCAAAAGGGCAGAGCAGCAGAAGAAATGGTTTTGGAGCAAGAGAGTCAGAGGAGGTATAGGGGCGAAGCTGAAAGAGAACAGAGTTGATGTACAGAGGGAGTGACGAGAAAAGCCTGGGAGTGTGGCAGGAGAGTAATGGTATAGGAAAGGGACTGAGGAGAAGGAGGCAGTTGGAGAAATTATGATTAAAGTGAAATTAATGAAAGGCTAGTTGAACTGAAATGAGGAGGGAAATCTGCACAAGCCAAAAACAGTATAGAAGAAAGCTCTGTATTTTTAAATATTAAGCTCACGCTCAGTCGTTCACTGCATGCAGATGCAGCTGTGATTGCAGGTACATCCCTGCTTTCTGCTCAGGGGCACAGTTCAAATGAACCTGTGTCCTTTACCTCAACAAAGAAGCAGGCATTTCCCCGACTCCCACATGTAAGGGCAGGCTTCCTGTTGCTGAGCCAAAGGCTGTCCGAAATCACAACATAATCAACATCAGAGAAAAAGCACTGTTTCTCCTCTTGAAGTAACTTTTCTAGCCCCAAGGACCCTGCTTCTTCCATGCCTTCAATTACGAACTTGAAGTTCACTGGCATAGCCTAAATGAACATTAGAGAAATCTAGATAAGAAACAAGCACTCTCAAAAATAAATAAATAAACTTTTAAATCAGAAGCAGACTGGCTTGTAGTACGTGCTGTGTTAGGAAAAGAAGGATGTAGGATATACAGTTTGCTTCAGTAGAAAGGGCAGTAATAGACAGATACATAGTTTCCCAGAAAAAAATTGGTTGTCTTCATGTTTTTATCTGCTTTTCATTTTTGAAGGAGAATAGGCAATATTTTTTTTTCCTTCTTTGTGTTTTCAGGAGACTTGCTGGACTGTCTCATTAAATTGGCTTTCTCTCAGTGCTATTAAACATTCTAATTGCTTTGGAAATTCTAACTGTGTAATAGCAGTTGCATTGTCACAGAAAAATTCCTGCCTCTTTATCTCCAGTGTTAGTGCCTATGCGGGAAGCACTGGCGGAGGGGCACTGCTGTGGTTACCCCAACGTTATCTACGGCCCGAGTTACTCACATGGTGGAAAAAAAGGCTGCTGGTGATTCTACTGTAATTGTCTTTTTAGCACTCATGAATTCATTTGCCTACTAGTTCATAAGGCTGCATTTCCAAGGGTAATTAGAGAACTTCTATTATTGAATAGTTCAAGTTAGAAATGCTGACACTTCCCATAGGAGATGATACAAATTTGAACGTAGTTTCCTGTTCCAATTCATTTTCTTCTTACAGGCTTTAAGATGTTTTCTGTTTTGATTCAATACTCAACTTAAATGCAGGAACAAATGTGTAGAATTAAATGAACTTGTGTTATGGATGGGTGCACCAATGGTTCATCAAACGACCACAAAAGATTTGGAAACAAAATGTTCGTGAATATTGTTTGATGGGCTGTGCTGTTTTCTAGGGAAAGACTTTATACGGCAAAGATTTCTTTTATTTGCTTGCTTGTTAAAATGCCAAAATAGCTGTTAGCGATTTGAAAAACTAGAAAGATTCAGACAGCCCCATAACCATATCCACTTCCAACAGCTCATCTGTGGACAAATAACATGGGTTTGCTAGCACTTGAGAGGCATCGAGTTCAATTCAGTACTGTCGATGCAAGAAAAACATTAGTTTTCCAGAAGGCTGCAAAAGGACTTTAGAAGTCAAGACTTAATGCTCAGTTTGTGCCGTAACATCAGAAAAGAGGCATAAAACTGTTTCTCAGCAATCTAACAAAACGCGTTGTGCAAATTCACCTTAAAGATGCTTGCTAACCATGTTGAAAGTTTCAGCTGTGTGTTGGTTTAGCTTTGCACTGGAGATACAACTAGCCCAAAAGTATTAAATATGCAGACTGATTTAAAGATAACTATGCTGGTCATTGTAGTAATTCAGGCAAAATTTTAGCTCATAAAGATATGTCAGTCTCTAAGCGAGTGTATTTGTACTTCGTTAATGCACTCATTCAAAGCATTTGCTTTGATAAATCGAACACATTGAAAGAACAGCCTATTATGTACGAACAGGCTTAGATACTTACTCTCTTCATACATACGTATAAATTGAAGGTAACTTGTAGGTAGACAAAACCAAAGATCAGCAGACTGTAGCAGCAGAGATGAGTCTTCATGAGCTATCTGCACTGCATGTTATTTTACCATTTTAAAAGCTCTCAAGAGAACAGGGTATCAAAGCTGTTTAATGTATGTAATACATATTGAATGCTTCCCTCAGTGTGTTTTCCTCTACAGTTCAATGACAGCAATTCCATATTTACATTGCATACAGACTGTTCAAAAGAGAAATGCTCACAAGCAGACTCTTGCTGGAGTGGGATCAGTGCCCTGGATATAGCATTAGAAATAAGCTAATATTTCCAAAATATATGTAGTCTGTTGAGGTGGAGATGTATCATCTAACTCACAAGAATGTAAAGGTATCCCTCCAGAGATGTTATAAGAATAGTAATAATAATAATAATAATTCTCTTGATACCTACTGATTTCAAGGCTTTAAATGTTTCCACTGCATTTATCCAAGCTAGGACAGGTCCTTTATTATCTATTGCTCCACGCCCATAGAGATTTCCTTAAAAAGAAGAGGAAAGTTTTTAAACAATCTTTGAAACTTCTCTTGTCACTTCAACGGAATCAGCAAATTCCTGTTGCCATAGCAGCTGTAGTGGTATGTCAAGTAAAGTGTCAGAAGAGTCAGGATTTCATCAACTTGTTTTTAATAATGTGATGGGCGTTCCCTAATGGACTGGTACACTTCTGTTTTTTTCCTTTCTTTCCTTTTATATTGGTGTGGTTTAAACCACTGCAGTGTTATCAGCATTGTTCTCAGACTGAAGCCAAAACACAGCACTGCAGCAGCTACTAGGAAGTAAACCACAAAAATCTGTTACAGCTGAAACCAGGACATATGTACACCATGTTTCAGCTACATGCCAGTTTCTGAGCTTCACTTTTGTTCTTAAGAGCTCTTTATTAACACCAGACATAGTGTGAACACACCCCTGAAGTGTTTTTACAGTATGCAGCTTCCATACACATCAGCCAGCCCACATAACAAGCAGCAAAAGCCCCACAGATAAATCTCACAGTAATAGCTTGAAGCTACAAGTCTAGGTATGTAACTTTATGTGTTTGACTGTACAGTCAGGGACAGATTTTCGTTTCAGGTAAAGTCTCCACTGAAGGTTTAGGAGCTACCCCACTAAGGCTGTTTGGAACCAGTTCCAGCCAATAGGAAAGGGCAATTTAATGGGTGTAGCACAGCCTTGGGAATCAGGATTTCAGGGTTCTTTGGGTCTTACTCATCTGCTGACCGTCTACCCATTATTTTTGTTCCTTCAGTGAATGGAGCTTTTCATGCTCAGCTAGCTGAAGTGGAAGGATGATTACATTAAGAGGGGCTTCACATTCTTCCACCATTAATGCTCCTTAACACCAGGGTGGCAAGTGAAGATACTAAAGGATCATGAAGCAAGAACAGGAAGTGCAAGAGAGGATAATGGTTGATACAACTTAATAATTTGAAGCAGAAATGAATTGTCCGTTAAATACTCTTAAAGCAGCATTGACAGCTCATGTGGCTCTTCCACATCAAGCAGGTAATCACTGATGAGTCTCACTAGTCACATCATCAAGAGTCAAGGCTGCTGGATTTGTCCCAGAGATTTCCATGGGGGAAGTCCTCATGCTTTGGTTAAATATATAGGGAGCCTCCTTGCACTCAATCTCAGTTGTGTATTCAAACAATGATACAAAAGTGATGACGCACCATCGATTTCAGTCAGTGTGTAAGGGTCAGTTTTCCAGCCATCTTCCTTCTTGGCAGGCTGCACATCCACATGACCATAGAAACATACAGTGGGGCTTTGTGGATCCTCTGCCAGTTCCCCAAGAATCACAGGAGGCAGTGGGAGGTCCTGGCCATCAGGCAGCTGCGAAGAAACATTAAAAAAGGAAACTAAGGAAAAACAAACCTTTGAAAACTCTCAAACATCATTAAAAACACTCTGTAATTCTCAGAAGTGAAAATATTTCAACATACTCAGTTGGCTGTCATTTGTTCAGGTGCACAAATCAGACTGTGAAACCAACCCTAACCTACCAAGAGAAATTAACTTTTTTCTCCACCTGTTTAGATTCTGCAGGGACTTTATGAAGCTCTTCTAATATTTTAGTGTCATAAATGGCCTTGTTACTAAACTCTTACTTTGTAGCACTGAGGAAGACAAAAATGGCTGTTTGCTGTAGTGAAAAAGCAGATATTGTGACACTGAAGTAGTGAAAAGCCACACAAATTGATTAGGGGTTTGATTTCACCACAGACAGAGGGTAGGAGGCCTGTAACCTCAAATACAAAAACAAAATCCGATTTTGCTGGCAGGAGGCAGCTATTTCAGGCTGGTTTGAAGCAAGTTAAGACTCTAAAATAATCCTGTGACATACTGTGCAGAAGAGGTTGGCCAAGAGATGCTGGATGTCTCACAAAAGAAATAAGAGAAGGAATGCGTGCTTCCTTGTATTCACCAGTAATATCAGTCTGCATTGGCCTGCTGCAACCAAAAAAATCTAGCTGCTTCTTGCTAAGCAATCAAAGGAAAAACCCATTTTGTGAAACATTATTTTTGCCCTGGGCAGAGAAAAGTATCTCTGGTCTCTGCTCCAGCAACAGGTAATCCATTCCCCCTGCTGCCAACACAGACTTTGCTATATATTTTGGCAATCATAACTGCATGCCAAGTGCATGCAGTTTTCAAGTGCAATGCATTATTACAGCTTTTCATTACAACATTTCATTAAACTGAAATGCATTCATTACGACTATTAAATGACATAACCTGAAATATTAAAGCAGTGCTGTGATGCAAGGTCCTTCTGCTAAGGCTCAACAATCTTTCCCATAACCCTCAGAGGATGGAAAAGGGAATCACTATTAGCGAAGTTCTGAATTCCTGTTAGAACAGAAATCTGACAGCCTCCAGCTACAGTAAGGTAAGTCAATTAAAGGCAAAGATTTCTCAGAGATTAACTCGTGTGCTGCTTTCCAACAATCCTTAAGAAAATGGGTTGAAGCATTTGTTAGAAGCTCCCAAACCCAAAGGTGATGCTCAAGATAGCTAGCACCTTCTGTTGGGCAACATTTTCCTTGTAAAAGCTACCTCCCTCATATAGGCACCTTGGTGAAGAACGATGCATTAACTATAATGCTTCATTACTCAGAAGAATGTAAAAATGAGCCCTGGTGAAAAAATCAGGTCTTTTACTTTTGCAGACTGCTTCCCACCAGTTAAAATCATCAAACTGTCCATGATATGCAGAAAACATCTATTTCCATTTGGATTGCCTGTGTAGTCTCCCAAGTCTGTTTGCAGACAGTCTGAGGAGGGACTGATTTCAGTAGGTATCATGTAGTTATGGAACTACTGATAAATTGTTATTTAGCTATCAAAAATACCAGTATGTCATAACATGCCTATGCATATACATAGCACTGAATGCAATAGGCAGACCACATGTGCAAATATGATATTTTAAATACAAGAATCAGACAAGCACCTGATGTGACCCCAAGTTTACTAAATTAACAGTGGCTCCAAGTGCCACAAGTCTGTCAGCTGCCAGCGCCATCATTCGTATTACTTCTTTCCTCAGATATGGTTGAATAGAATCGCTTTCCACAGCCACCCATTCCTTAAGATCCTGCACAAGGAGGAAAGAAGTGGAGTTAAATCACCCGGGATGCTGCAGTGTTTGGCCCTTTAACATGAGAAGTGTCACTTTGGAAGACGGTTTCATTTCTATCCCATCACAGCAATGTCATGGGTGCTATAAGGCTTCAGAATTGAGAGGAACTGCTTAGACGGGTCCGCAGGGTTGAGAGTCCTGATTTTCTAAACAAGGAGGGTACCCACACTTAGGCATTTCCACTGTCAACCATGGATGTAAAATTCCATGGAAGAGGAGGCAGACTAGATGCTGACCATATTGCATTGCAGAAATTGCATTATGTATGAATTACTTCAGTGATCCTCATAAGGGTTCAGAAGTGCTCATCACTTTTATGCATAACTGATACTGACTGGCATAATTATGTTTCTGCCTCTTCACAGGGAAAATGAAAAAAGGAAAGCACAAACCAGCATGGGAGCAAGACCCCTCTCCTTGTCAAGAGCAAACCTACAATAACCAATGCTGAGCTAAAGCAAGTGAGAGAGCAACCTATCTGCTTGCTTCTCCCATGCACATGCATTTTCTCTCAGTGGAGCCTCTTTCTGCCCACACTCAAAGGATGCCTGCAGCCATCTGGTTTATGGAAGTCCATGCAAATCCCTCTTCCACCTGAAGGGTCCCCAGCACAGACTGTCCCCTTGCAGCCTTGCTTTGTGAAGAACATGTAGCACACCTGAGGCCAGACCTGGAAACCTGCTCATTACCCATGTGGCAAATGCTCATTTGGCACATAAAACACAGGCCTCCAGGGCAACAGTTCTGCACTTGTCATTTCACTGCAATATAGTTCCTACCTCAATAGAATCACTTTGGTGTTCATCAATGTACTGGAAAATCTCTGTCTCCAACGCTGGAGTGGATGGTGAAGACATTACTGCCTTAGAGAGTTGCCCAGAGCTGAGATTGTAGAATGGTTCAGGTTAGAAGGGACCATCTAGTTCCACCCCCGCTGCCAGAGGCAAGGACACCTTCCACTAGACTAGATAGAGGCTATCAGAAAGTTAAGGATAAAATTCAACATGTTAGAGACATCCTGCTAGAAAGCATAGACAATTGTAAAGTGCTGAGCTTACTCAAGCCTCCTTTAAGTTCACATCAATTTTCAATGCACAAAGTTCCAATTGTGTGTTCTGGGAAGACAACCCCAGGGAAGACTTGCAAACATCAACTCAGACCAGTAGCCCAGGGAATTCATCTTTCATTTTCTTCATTTCCAGAAGAATGGGAGAAAAATTGATTCACTGACACATGTTGCATATTTTACATGAATAAGGTAGAGCTATCCTGACACAGGAGAGTATCAGACAACAAATAGCTTTTGCGGTTGAGTAAGAACAGTGTCAACACTGAAACACTTCATAAGTGCAGAAGTCATTTAGTACTTGCAAACCTCTCTGCCACCTTGTTTTTGACAAGACAAATGAATATTTAAAACCCATAAGATTCTGAGAAGTGTTTTCCCTCCTTGAAGTTCCTGCTGCAGGTTCTTGAATTGGTGTTAGCAGAGTAATACTTGGCTAGTTAAATCCTTGGCTGGCTAAATTCAGAATAGCTGCTGTATTGTGGTGCGCAATGGGATAAACTCCAAGGTCAAAACCCAACACTTTGAATCTAAAAATATTCTATACTGGTGACAAAATGTGTAGTTGCAGGTCCATCCACAATTCCATAAATTTGATGCATTGCTAAGGTGATAGGCTATGGTAATACTAATAATTTCAATTGCGTTTCTCTGATGAGAAGATGTAGATTGAAAACCTAAGCATGATAAACAAAAGGAGGGAAGCATCCTTCGTTTTCCACAAAGCCTGCAAATGCCTTAGTTTCACATGTATTTTATTCATGCTTTCTACTTTGCCATTTCCAAACCTCAGTTTGGAAAATGTTTTCAACAGAGCCCACTATAAGTGCTCTCATTTAACCTACCATAGAAAATCAGACAGTTGCTTACAGAAAAGTACCTCTTGGGTATGCCATACTTGAACAAGGAGGATCATAGCACAGGTTACACATAACATGGCTACTAGAGTAACGAAGCTCATGCAGTGCACAAGTGTGTCTTCATCATATATGATTTTCCATTGAAATATTCAATTTTGCTAAATTCTATGCATTTTCACTATGAAAAGAATGAGTATACATATAGCTGATACCTTATGATGACTTGAAGAAACACGTACCTTTAATATTACATGAAGGTCAGAATGACAAAAGGGCTGCTTATACAGGAAACATGCACTGTGGTGATGGTATCTTCCTCTTTATCCACGTTACATGCAAATGACCCAGAAAGATGCAGATGAGAAACTTGTCTTCAAGTCATGTTTCATTAGCTTTTAACTGTTTCAGAAAATGAAATAAGGAAACTACAATGCACTGAAGGAAAGAAACAAAACAACCCGAAACAGTCAAATGATGAAAAAACCCTAAGAATATTTTAAATAATTCAGTGATATTTTTGAAACAGAGACACAGACTTTGAGAAAAGCTTACAGAATATCCCATAAGTAATTGCTTTCAGAAACAAAAGTAAGCATGAGCAATGCCTAAGTTCGGAAAATGAATGTGAGGAGATACTTACGCAGTCCTGCAGATGAGCAGAGTGCACCAAATACTGGTAATTCAAACCAGATATTAGGTAGCAGCTATGTTGTGCAGTACTTGAGGGAGGGGAGTAGCAGAGGGAACTTCATGTTAATTTGCTGCTAACAGCCAGTACTGCTTGAAAGCATTTGTATTGCAACTGGGAAAGCTTGTGTAGAAAAGGGAGTCAGTTTAATAAAGCAGTAGAAAGATACCAGGCAAGGCTAAAATAGCTCAGTGTTACAAGGAAGAGAAAAATGGATGAGAAAGCCTGGGGGTGGAAATACCAAACAAAGACTTCAGTGTTCAATTTCAAGTGTATTTTATTTGATCTCATTTTAAAGAGCAGTTGCTGCTTTATAGAAAAATGTAGTATGACTGTTTTTAGAAATAATGCATGACAGTCACTCAGTTTCTCTTCCTTCATTCCTTGGTAGTAAGAACATTTTGTGTCTCCCTCCTGTCTCATGAAGTACTGTTAAAAGAAAACTTAGCCTTCTTAGGTAGTGATTTAACAAGAAATCCGAGTTGATTCTTTAACTAGGATGACTCTTTGATAAAATATCAACTAAACTTACAAACATTTGAGAAGCAGCTCTTGAACGTGCTCTGCTGCCCTCCTTGACATTCCTGAAGTGCATGCCTCACACGCCTTCCTCCCTGCAATGCAGCATTTGAAGTGTGTGCACGGGGAGTGCGCCAATGAAAATGGAATATTTTGCAAAAAACCCAGAATAAACAAAGTCAGAATTCACCTAGTTTGCAAATAACATGAAGAACATTTGACATGAAAGGAGATAAAAATGTGTATGGCAGTAGAAGCTAATTTACCAAACCAGTGGTGGGATCCACTGAAAGGAACATTCCCTCTAAGCCACCATCACCAAGGAAGATAACTGAGATAATATGGTTATTATTTAACTTTCTTTAGAAACATTAACTGATAAGTGGCCTACCTTTTGTGGAAGAAGGCAATCGCGCCTCGGTCATCTCTCCAGCTGAGTAGGTGATACCCTTGGAGGAGGAGGATGGCAGCTCTTTGGGTGGCAGCTCTTGAACACAACCCTAACCATGTGCAGCCACTGTCATGGTAATGACCAGGAGCTGCAGAGATCCAGACACATGTAGAGGGATGGACACCAGCTCACAGGGCTGCCTGAAGGGCATTTCAGAGAGTGCAAGTGACTAGCCCTGCCTTTGCTCAAGCTGACTCCTTAGAGAAAAAAGTGAGGCCCTGTTTATCAGTTCTGCTTTGCTGTAATACAGATTACAGTGAAAAAAGAAACTCCTTACCTCTTTGTGCTCTTGTTTTGCAGCTGCTTTTATGGCTACTGATGAGAGCTTGAACTGGCAAGGTCTCCTCTTCCACCTACAGAACAGGGGCATTTCATCTCAGTTCACTGTTAAGTTCAGCAGTTATGAAGGATTACTTTTAAATTAAAGATTAACTTTTGGTTTAGATGCTTAAAGTCTACTTCTCTATCCTATAATAATCCAAGCAGGATATTCAAATCACTACCACATCAACCTATGACAAATTTTCCCATATCCCTTTCCTCCTCCCTTTCTCTGTGGAAGACCTAAATCCTAGCAGGAATTACAGTGTCAGAAAGCACTTCAGCACTGCTGCTTTATGATAGTATTTTGAAGGACTTGGAGAAGAGACGTGGTTTTTGTTACTTTGATTTGAAAATGGGAAAAGAAAAGAATACATATCTGTTAAGAATTTCTCCCAGGAAGTAGTGTTTCACTCTGTGCCCACTGACAAGAAGTAATTCACTATTTTCTCACCTGAGAAAATTTTATGAGCTTGACTGCTCGTTGGTTTGCAATCAGATAAACATTGGTATAAAGAGATCCTTCTGGAAAGATAGCTGCACTCTCTTATGCTCTTTTCACAGCAAAAAGGTTAATAGGAAACAACTACAGGAAGTACAGCTGAGTACCAAACTATATGCACTGGTATATAAGGCTGAGCTACTAATGCAGTTCAGAATGCTCCTAAAACACAGTGAGCATCAAAACGAAAATTAAAGTATACGTGAATAATATTTCCTGTATTCTGACTTGCTGGAATGGCTTTTGACATCCACATCCAAGCGCACTGTGTTCACTTACATGTGGATAGCCTCACCACCTTTTTGCTGATAGCTCTTCCATACCAGAGTGCCTCTGAACTTATATCAAATTTTAGGTGCTTGTGTTTGCATACAAGGGTCTATCCTTGTGGTCCTCTGTCCGTTTTGAAAGAACTGCTATTCACATGGTCAGATTCAGTAACAAGCATTGGTTTTCCAAGGGAGGTCAAGGTCCTATCTCAGAGCCTTATAAAGACCTTTGCTTCCTTTCAGTATTTGTTCTTAATATATATAAACTTTTATGCAAATGAATGCAGAAGTTTTAGAGAAATTAAATGTTTATTTGCATTTATTTATAAGAATTCTGTTTTTACATGTATCCCACCTTGATGTTTCACACTGATGTTACTCCTGAATTATGATAGCACAAGTGAGATAAGAAATAGGTCAACTGAATTCAGTCATTCAGCTATTTGCTTATTTACCACTGTATCTATCTTCGGGGGGGGGGGGGGGGAAGCAATGATTACTTTGTATCTTGTTCTTTCATTGCTAATTGCTCCTTATTTTATAACCTATAACTTGGAACAGGGTTTAGAGTCAGTATAGGAGATTATTTTCTTTTTCAGTCATTATTCCATTTATGGATTATCATAAGCACGTAAACATGACCAACATTGTTTAGAAGCATTTTTGAATTTACTCAGCTTTATCTCCTCAATAAAAACACTCTCTGGTGATAACTTATAAACTACAATAAATTAAAGAACCAACTTGAATAGTTTGGGTGAGTGCTGGCATGGACAACTCCTCTTTGGAGTACAGTAAGCATTTAAGCAGGAGGAAATAGGTTAATTACAGAAAAATAAGAGCAGAACTAAAACAATAGGATAAGGAAAACAAAGCATCAATGTCTTTGTTCCTCTTGTCCTTTGAAAATGTAAGCTCTTCAGGGTAGAGATGGTCTCCTACTTTGTGTTTCTATTACTACATCTGGGCAGCAGCCTCAGTTGGTGATAAAGTGGTGGTGCAAACAAGAGTTAACTTAATTTCACTGGCACTTCAGCAGAATTCGCATGCCTTAACTGTTACTTTAATTAAAAAGTTGTCTTAAGAAATTACAATTTGCATAAGCAAACATGTAAGAAAGGAGCACCTTTTCATTGACAGAAATTTTATGAGGGTTTTCAGTGCTACCTATGACTCTAAGTAGCTGCCTCTAGCTCAAACCAGCTATTTTCTATTTCTTGAAGATGTCTTACAGGAAAATGAGAATGATATTATAATGTCATAATCAGTAGTAAATGGTTATTATTGCATCTTACTGTCATTTCTCAATATACTGCCTTCGTATAACTTGTTTTCATTGCCTCCTGGAAGTGTAAATCCCCCAAATATATCTCCCCTAAAGGATTTCTGTATCTGCTCCCTGTGCAGCAGGAGGAAGCTCTTCCACCTCCTCGCTCCTTCCCACTCCATGCTGCAGTCTGAAGAATATTTCCCAGCCATCACCTTTCAAAACAATCATAAGCAATACTGCCTGCTTCAAGAGCTTGTCAACAGTGGAGTGAGATTGCACTGCTAGAGAGGTAAAGACCCCCAAAACCCTAAATTAGTAGTTACCTGAGCATCAGTAATTGCAGTTGGGTATGTCAGTGAACAGAGATTAACTTAGAAAAGACCCCCTTACCCAGGCAAGAAATCACACAGTGCTTTACAAGCATTAATGACTACAGGCTGTCCTTGACGTGGAGCAATGATGAACACCACCTTCCAGGAGCAGGGCCACAAGGACTGGAAATACTCTGTAAAGGAAGAGCAGTAACACAAAGCCTTCTCACCGCCTAGAAGGTAAATCAGCAAGCTCTCTGCACACAGATCTCCAAGAATGCAGGCTTTAAGTGGTACACCCTGGGGAGGAATGAACAAGTTGTTCTTGTCCAGCACCTTTTCCAGTATACTGCACTGAATGCTGAGACAGGAGGCTGCTCTGTTTTTCCAAGCACAAGACTAAATTCATTTTGTTTAACAATTAAGCAAAAGTATTTTCAGATATCAATCACACTGAAACAAAGGCAAGAGGTTATTCCTATCTTGATGTCCTTCAGACAGCTTTACTCAGCCAAATAACAGCATCATTCCCTTAAGGGTGACCTCTCTGTGCAGGTGAGGTTTTTATTCTGCTGAAAATTCACAGTCATTTCCAAACAGACATCAGAGACCAGCTTTAGGAACTCACATGGTGAAGCAGATACTAACCATGCAGTACTTTGTCTATGCAGCTCTTCACATTGCCTCTTCCCAGCTTTCCATGTGGTCCAGGAACTGGCGGGGAATGAGTCACTGAGGTGGTGGTGTGTATGGTGTCCCTCAAGGCATGCGTCGGGAGCACCACAAAGTTAACTCAGTTTCACACTTTGCTGACTTCTGCATCCCACCTGGGTATGAGGCAGCAGCCTCTGAAGAAAGGCTTGTGAGTACCTTTCCATTGCAGCCCTCCTGTGCTTGAAGTGTATTTGGGAGAAGGCCAAAACAAGCAGAGAGGTTCTTATCTTGGTGAATACAAGTTGCTCTTAAATAGCTTAGAAAGGAACCCACTGTATATACTTATATATAAACACAATACCATTGCATCTCAAGGCAACAGATGTTACCACTGCAAGGTGATTGTGACCTCTTTAAGGAGGAGCATGAGATATTTCATAGCATGTTGCTCCTATCAAAGTTCTACTGACTATATCGAGGGTAAAGCACATGCCTGAAGTGCCCAGAGCAGACACTCATTAAACTGAGGCTCTGCACCCTTCACATGCTAAGCAAGTCATGCCATCAGCAGCTGTTTTGATGCAATAGTGTCTCAACAATCACAAAACAGTAGAAAAATGCAAGACAGGCGCCTACTCATCCCACCAGGGTTTAGGCTTAAAATACTTTCCCTACAGACATATTTTTTGCTTTCTTTGCTGCAGTCTTCTCAAGCAGAGAAGTTTCTCACATGTTCAAAGGCCTTTCGACAGAAGTGTAGCGTGTGTCTTGACATGGCTTAAAAGGCAACGATGGCTTTGCGTTTTTTGTGCTGTGGGAATCAGAACATTTAGAGCTACTGCTATAGCTCTTAACTTTGAAGCAAGTGGCAGTTCTGTAAATCAATAGTTTGGATATAAGCCATTAATCCCACATGCTGAGCACCTAAATCCTTACACAAGTTATGAAATTGTGGCTGAAATATTTAAAATAATTCATGAAGATGGATAAAGTTTGTATCCCCTCACTCACTGCACTTCAGAGGGAGTTAAATTTTAAGGTGAACTAAAAAAAAAAAGAAATGCCATGATAATAATAATGATGATAATATTTAAAAGTTAATTTAAGCTATGAAAGCTCAAATGCACAAACAGCTGTTAAAGGAATGGTTCCACCATGTGCTCCTCTTTTCTTGCCTGGAAGCCAATCTTTAAGAACTCAGCTCGACCAGGAAGAAAAGTATTTTCTCCCCATTTGCAATAAACTATGCACCCTTTCCTGAAGGATGGGCAATGGGAAGGCTGGGGGGGGTGGGGAAATCACATCACAGATACACATTGCCTGGACACATTCTTGAGCCACAAGATGCTTGCGCTCCAGGTGAGCAATGCTATCACCAGCTCTGATTTTCATCTGTTTTAAATGAGGGTGTTCTGCTCAGGCACCCAAATGCCTCATTTCTCACCTACCTCTGAGAAGGTGCTGGGCTTTCCCTGCCACACTGAGCTAAGTTTCAGGGCGGCCCTCAGCTTGCTCCCCTAGCAGAAACACCTGATAGCATGGAGCTGTGTCCCATACACTGCTACATGCACTGCTCCCCACTGCACGGCTCCAGGCTCTTGTCCAATGCTCACCCCAAACCGCTCATCCCCCAAACCCCTCCCTAGTAGCAGAGTGCTACTGGGCAGCATAACCAAACTACTCCAGTTTTCAAAGTTTGACTCAGAACCACAAACCACATCAGCTTGACACACCTACAGCTTTTGTTTCACATTTATTTGCACAACCACGCTGTGTTTTTTGGTTCCCTGTATGTTGGGACAGACAGGCTATTGTACAGCTGGATATCCTTTATCCATAGAATTATTTATGTTGGGAAAGACCTTTAAGATCATTGAGTCCAATCATAAATCTCAATGATATGCAATTACATAGAAACTACTCGTAAAGAAATGCTGGAAATTTAGAGGCAGCATTTTTTTCACTTGCCTATGTGGGAAGCACCCAGTATCTGTTTCTTTGGCTATGCCTCTGTTTCAGAACACAAACTTTTTGTGTAGCGGGTTTCTTCTATTTCTTATGCCAGATGTCATTATCCTAGACTATAGCAAAGCACATAGGAAATAACCCATACCCTGATATCCTCTTTACTTCCCTGTGGTGCCTTCCCTCATTAAGACTATAGAGGTTAGAATAGTTTGTTTTTGTGTTGGTACCTATGGGGAAAATGGCTGGACAAGTGGATTCATGAAAAAAAAAAGCTACCTGAGGAGCACACACACCAACATATACATGTAATTTAGCACAAGAAAATGGGGACTGAACTCAATGAAATAATGAAATGGCCCTATATTTTCCATCTCATTTAAAGAAGTACAAATACATTTATAACATCAGTCTTGTCTTCTCCACTTGCAGTAAGTTTCCTTTTACCTATTCGATCATTCACTGCTGGCATAAAGGAAAAGTTATTATTAAAAGTATTGCTAGAGGCAGCACATACCTTCATTTCCATAGTAGTAATTACATTAAAAAAAAAACATATAGAGGAACCTAAATCAGGAAAATGAACCTTATGACTCCAAACCATCCATTTAGTACTTTGTGAGAAATCTTAGCTGAATACAAAGGTGTCAGAGATGTCAGATCCTTCACTGGTGTGCGCCCTTCCCAGCCACAAGTAAACATGCCTTTTATCTATCTAGACTTGCTCTTCCTTAGCTGAGAGAAAGTGATCTGTGGAGATATGGAAATATTAAAAAGATAACACAGCTCTCACAGTTGAGGCTTTAGATGAATCCTGCAAACTAAGGGAAAAAGAAGTTTTTTTTTCTGCTTCTCATAAACAGTCAGTTTTCAAAGAGCCACATTTCAAGGCCGAGGCGGGGGTGAGGAAGGAGAAATGTCAGCCTGAAGTAGTGTGACTGATTCCTTTTGAATTATCTCAGCATGGTGTCATCTTATCTGGAGATTTCATTTGTTCCTGTGACTAATAATTGGGCTTTAAACTGGCAAACGGATTTAGCAGGATCAAGCTCTCAAATTCAGAGCACTGAGAAAACACAGAAAGAACTTTTGATCTTTAAACTGAAAGACAAATGGATGTTATCCAGGTGACACGTGCCACTAAGTACTGAAACAAGGGGTTCAGAGAGTGGGCTTTTTGGCATTTGCTGTGTTCCTTTGCTAACAGTAAGATCTAAGTCACACTTTGCCAATCTTGAAAACTCAGTGAATATTGATAAATCTATGCAAAAAATGCATGTCAGATCGAGCTTCTAAGCTTATGCATCATTTATGAATGCACCTGTCTTACCTGACATAACCAATTCCTTCCAGTCACAGACTACAAGAAAGAGGCTTTTATACCATTTTGCTGTTTCTAGTTTTGAGTTACAGAATAACTTCAGAGGTTTAAGTGACTCAGGATGACACAGGGATTTCTATCAACACAGATAAAATTGTATTTGGAACAGATTAATTACAATCTGTATTTTTGCATTATAATTTTATGCAAAGTGTGTGAAGTGAAAACTTGCTGTCCTGCTCTGAACTGAAACAAACAAGTTTCTGAACATTTCACAGTTCAAAATCACCGTATCCTCTACTTTGGATTTATATCCAGACTTAAAGGAGATTCTTCGATTCATAAACCACTGACATTTTATCACCCCAAATTCTTACATTCAGTAGTTAAAAAAGACTAAATAGTGTGCCAGATTGTGATCATTTTTGATAGGTGCAGACTCTGTGATTCAAATTCAAAAGCAAACAGGTGCTTATATCTAAGTTTAAGAACAGATTACCATACATTTCTGAATATATTTGCCTTCTGTATTGATGGCTAAGAATTTAAGTGGGAAAAACAAACAAAAAAAAAAACAAAAAAAAAATCCCTCCAAAACTGTTGTATTGCAGGCTGTGTGCTATTGAAAAAAATAACATTTTCCTATGCCAGCCCCCATTTTAACTTTAGTACTAAATCTAATTATTTTCAAGATCTTTCTTCTACATCCTTAAGGACTTGCTGGTCTGTCAGTGGCAGGGATTGTGTCATTAAAGCTTTCTTCCACAGCCATCAAATTATTTGAAGGCGCTAGAGGAGCATTTATTACTGAGGTGCTCTCAGCTCCCTCTGATGAGATCAGAGAAGCTGAACTTGTTTTACATTTGGAACAGGTATTGCTAATCAGCTGCTACTGTGCACAGCTTCAAGGTGACTGCTGTGTCCCAGTAAATCTGTGTCATACTTGCACATATGATAGATGTGGAACTACAATGCATTAAGAAAATGGAATGTATCATCCTAAATTATTAATATTTTATGTTGATGACTCAATTACCTGTCATATCCTATAGAAACACTTTCACAGAGTGGGCAATGTAATACAGTAGGAAATCTGGTGCTCCAGTTTTCCATGGGGGGGGGATTCAAATGAGTTTGATAACACTTTTTAGTTTATTTCTATTATAAGCCAATCAATGTATGAACTTATCTGCAGTTAAAGACAAGACTTTTTCTCCCATTTCTCAAATCCCTTCATCAAAACTCCTTTTAACTTTTAAATAGGAGCTTCTCAGCTGGTCTCAAGGTATTTAAAATCCATCTGTAAGTGTCAGACAACTCCAAGTAAAGCTCCCAAAAATTAGATACAGCTCTACAAACTTAAAGTTCATAACCAGACAAATTCCATTAAACATCATTTCCATCAGTGCAAAGGAATATTAGCAGTCTAAAGCCTGAAACCTAATAAACTCTGGCTGTCTATGCTCTAGAAACATGTATCTATACATTCATTTAGCACCCTTTCTCATGAAGCCTTTCACTCAGTTTCTGAAGCCTGCTCTCTCTAGTCTTTCTCCCCAGCTTCTTCACATTCCAGGGAACTTTATTCATGTCTTTTTACATTGAAATTCTGTTGCCAGATAACAATAGGTAACCAATATGCGCCTGAGCTCCTGCTGCTTTCTTCCTCCTTCTTGATTTGTGCTTCTGAATCCATCCACTCAGAGTTAAAACTGCCTTAAAATAATCACAAGCAGCACTGTGCCGCCTTGTACAAAAGTTTAGGATACGGCTGACAAAACATTACAGGATATTTCTGAAATACAAATAAGATTCAAAGCTGTGCAGAAATAAATCTTTTGCTTTCTTTTTATTAATTCTGCTTGACAACCAATTCCTGAAAATTCCATGCAGCCTATACTGTATTTTGAATTAATATTGTATTCTTACAGCTTTGAACTTGAGTTCTCCAGCTAAGGGTTCAATGAACACAATAGAAAAACCTCAAGAGAACCTCCTGAAACTATTTCCAAGTGTCATTGGTCTGATGCCTTAAACTTCTGGCATTTACACAAATTAAAAAGTATGTTCCATCCAGTGGATTTGCAGAAATTGCTGCTTTTCTGCCAGAGTTTTTACATGTTGCTAGTCATTCGAATAGTAAAGAAGTTAATGGAGAGGAATTCGGAAATAAGAAGTTACCTTCTCCCACTCCATTTAGTGTTATTATACTGTTGTGCCAGCTTCCAGAAACTGCAAACTATTGCAGTGGCAATTACAGAATAAAGTTGAAATTAAAGGTCGTTGCTGGCTAGCATTTTCCACAATAGCATGATAAGAATCACAGTCTTAACATAAAAAGATGACACTCAGTCCACTCAACATATAATTATCACATTATAAAGTGAAAGCCTGGTTGTATTGCTGGGAAATGCTGTGAGCCCCACTTGCAAGAATAGCCCCACTAATGTGAATGATTGGAAAAATTAGCAGGAGAGTGGGAGCAGGAAGAACATCAGTAATAGAGAACGTGGGAGGCAAAGGCCAGGTCTTCTGTACTGTGCATGTACTATTGGAAAGTCCAAAAGGAAACAGATTTTTTGCATTTAAAGGTTTCTAATGATGCACCAGAACACAGTTGGTAACAGAAGATGTCAACCCATTACTGTTACAGTAAGACAGCCTAAAACACCACCTTAAAGGCGTATTTATAAATAAATACTAAACAGCATTCTAGCTTGCAAAAGACTCTTGCAGCTACTCTACTACTTTAACATTTTAGTTATACTTTGCTTTCCAAGTTGCTGGAAGTCTAGGGAAGAGTTTAATAGGCTTTCTTAAAATTAAGCAGCAGCATCTCAATTAAAATCATAGGTTAGGGTTGGAAAGGACCTTAAGATCATCTAGTTCCAACCCCCCTGCCTTGGGCAGGGACACTTCACGCTAAACCATCTCACCCAAGGCTTTGTCCAACCTGGCCTTGAACACCGCCAGGGATGGAGCATTCACAGCCTCCCTGGGCAACCCATTCCAGTGCCTCACCACCCTAACAGTAAATAATTTCTTCCTTATAGCCAACCTAAACTTCCCCTGTTTAAGTTTTAACCCATTACCCCTTGTCCTGTCACTACAGTCCCTAATGAACAGTCCCTCCCCAGCATCCCTATAGCCCCCCTTCAAATTCTCCCTCCTAGAATTTCTAACTGCTCAAAAGACACCATTTATTATTAAGTCTCTAACCTTGACTCCACTATTCAGTACATGCACATTAAATCCATTAAGCAGTTCAGAAACAGGAAATTTAATTCCATCATCTATCTTAGCAGCTACCTTGAAGTTCAGGAATTTGATACAATTTTGCATATATTAACAGCCCAGATTTGCAGTTCCATTTTCTTTATCCAAAAGAACAAGAAAACACTCCTCCACATTCACAAGCAACAGCTAATAGAAGAAATGTCTCTATACAAAGGCTTGCTTGAATATAACTAACATATTCCATTTTCAAATAACTCTTGGCACTTTGTGCTGTGGGTTAGATTTTTCACTATAGATTATAACCACATATTTAATATTTGGGGTTTTATTTTTTGTGAAGAGACCACATATCCTCCAAGGCTGCAGCAGGTCTCACAATTCAAATGATCAACTGTGTACAGGACAGCTGCTTTTCCAAAGGAGAGCAGAGCGCAATAACACTGACAAAAAACAGCTGCCCAACTGTGTTTATCATCTCATTTTTCAGTCTGAAGGGCAGAAATATAAGAGGCCCTTAGGTTGTCTTCATGATTGAGAAGAACATAAGCCTGCCCAGACAGGAGGAGGAAACTGCATACCGATGTGTCAGCATCAGCTGGCATATTTCATTGGCATGTGCTTTAAGCAGGCCTCAAGAGATCTCAGAATTGCTAAGGATATGCAAAATAATAGAAAGATGAATATTTAAAAGTACTAGAAAAACATATCTTGGCATTCAGAATTTGCAATAACCTAACATCATGATGCAGAATGGTATGCTCAAACTGGCTAGGAACTAGAATCAAAATTATCCACTGCTAAGCTTTCCTGTATAGTCTAAGCAGACACTGAGGAATAATTTCAATCCCCTGCAGAATTTCATTAATTATTGAGAAGGTGATTTATTCAGATTGACTCCTAAATGTAAAAAGTACATTTAATATATGAATCTATCCTAGCTTAATTGAGTTCAGGTAACACTAAAAAAAAAA